GTAATTGAATGAAGAATTCATTAAGGTTAGGAAACAAAAACAAAGCGGCCCAATTATTAGCTGACATGCTTTTCTTGCTAGGATGAGTTGGTGTCAAAGGCAAAGATTAATTCCTTATTTTTATTTCTGCTTTCAATCACATGGTATAAAAATACTGATGAATGGAAATGTACCCTAAAGATTTAAAGTAGAGCTGACTAATTCTTTATATATATATATATATATATATGTCATATATATATATGTCATATATATATGTCATATATATATATGACAGTTGACTTCAGGGTCTCAGCTCACCAGGAGGTGAGTCCCTGATGGGTGAATATGTTATGGGTGAATATATATATATATATACATATATATATATATGTATATATGTATATATATATATATATATAAGCTTTCATTGTGATTCTTTTAGGATTTCTTTAAGACTACATTTTGGGATAAGCAAGAAAGTGACTTGTCTTTTATTTGCATCAAAACCAGCAAACCAGCCTGAGAATAAAAGAATAGCTTGCTGCTTACATTTTGTTAGTTTACAAGTTGTGTCAATACAAAATGTATGTGTATTTTGGGGAAATTTGTTTTCATCTGTATTATGCAAAATGTTAATCATGTAACGGCTATGGAAAACAGGTTAGATTTTTTTATCTTGTATCCATTGTAATCATTCACTTAAAAAAAGAATGTAACCACACTGTAATTTTTATACTGCCTGAGTTATTTTGTTGATATATATAACCTGTAAGGGAAAAATAAAGACAGAGCTAAAATGAGTTAGAAGAAAAACATAAAGAATAAAGGTAGAGTTTGAAGGAAAACATCAAGAATGAGAGAATAAGGAAGAATAGAAACAGGGTTAGAGGGAAAACATCAAGAGAGACAGAAGGTGTCATTTCTGGATAGAGAGAAGAAAAGAGAATATAGAACATAGAATCAGAGAGTACAAAAGAAGAATAAAGAAAAGTTCTGAAAGAAACCATCTATAGAGTGTGTGAATCTATAGTCCCTAATCCCTCAGATAAAAAAGTCATTCTACACCCTAACTCCGGGGATTCACTTTGAGACCTGCCCTGCTGTAGTCAGCTCCCACAGAAAATAATATGCACCCTTGTAAATATCTTGTCATGGTGGCCCTTGTTTTGGTTCATACTCTTTACACAACTTAGTAGGATTATTTATTGCTTTTCTTCCCTGGATTCTTACATGGCACCTTAATATACTGTGAAAAGTCATGCTCATGGAAGAATCTTCAGGTCAGTTCAGAGTTCCTTCAAGTCCTAAATCTAAAGCATGTAGTGTCATTAGAAATGGGATCTTACCTTCAAATTCTATGAGGGCAATCAAGGGCAATGGCATTAGCCTGTTTTATTTGGAAGAGTCTCTTAAGTCTCTATCTAACAACTTGAAGGGAGGTTTCCCATACCTGGAGTTGCTATTTGTTTTGTTAGATTTGTCATTCATTCTATTTGACAAGCACTCTTCTGAGAGATTCAGTTCTATGTTGTGCCATTTAAGTAGTGTTTGGGATTTAAAAATTCTGTTTGACATTCAGTTTTGCTTCGTAATCAGTAAGATAGTATATAATACTTTACTGTACTTTGTGAACACAAACATGAATCTTTCTTAAGAAACACCATGGTCTTTGATTTAAGAACTTTCTTCCTTTACAGAGAGATAAATATGACTACTAGAACATTTTATATTAAACCAATAATTTGTTTCCATAATTGAGAATTATCAAAACCTTGGCTTCCTTTCCAACATTGCAGAAGAATTATCAAAGAACCTAACTCTAATCCCAGATAAGTGATGATACCATGTCCTTAGGATTTAAGCTAGTGCAGTGGCCTGTGAGAGTGGACATTAAAGGGCTTTCTGGACAGAGTCTTTATGACCAGCCTGTTTCATACACAGTGTGTAGGAAAGGGGAGGGGTTGCCTCTCGTGGCAGCATCTTCAGAGTTCTATCAGCTGTATTTCCTGAGCAACTTCACTGATTGGAAGCTGTTGGGGAGTGTGGTGATTTGAATGAGAATGATCCCCATAGACTCATATATCTGAACATTTGGTGACAGTTTGTGAATTGTTTAGGAAGGTCAGGATGTGTGACCTTGTCAGAAGAGATGTGTCACTATTGGTAGTCTTTGGAATCTCAAAGCTAAAGCCAGTCCCGGGCTCTCCCTCTCTCTGCCCTTCCTTGTGATTAGATGTAAGACCTTAGCTAGTTCTCCAGGGACATCCCTGCCTGTCT